AATTTCTGGGAGTTCTCAGCCGCACTTTCTCACTTTTCTCTCTGCCTCTGTGCTCATATATCCACCTGTGCTGCCTCTTTTCTGACTCACATCAAAGCAGGTGCAAAGCCAAACCTCTTCACTTGTACCCACACCCCCACGAATCCACTCACAAAAATGCGTATTGTTAGTTTAGGAACTTTGCTGAAGATTTGGGAGAGGAAGGTCACAGGAAGGGGTGACAGGATAAAGCGAAAAGTCTTCTGCCATATGCCTGTGTCCACTGGCCTCCTCTCCTCCATCTTGTTCTTACATCCAAGGAGAAACAGAAAGTCTTCTGGGGCTGGCTCCGTGGCCGAGTGGTTAAGTTTGCGCGCTCCACTGCGGCGGCCCAGGGTTCGGATCCTGGGCGCGGACATGGCACTGCTTGTCACGCCACGTTGGGGCTGTGTCCCACATCCCACAACTAGATATACAACTGTGTACAGGGGGGGTTTGGGGAGATAAAGCAGAAAAAAAAAAAAGATTGGCAACAGTTGTTAGCCCAGGTGCCAATCTTTAAAAAATAAAATAAATATCCCTGACTCTCTCTTCAAAAAAAGAAAGAAAGTCTTCTTCCTGCCTCATGGAGAACAGTTTTTGAAAATCAATTTCCCCCCTAAATTTAGAAAGGCAATTTGGTGCATTTCCCGTCTCTTAGCATAATACATCCCTGATAAAGACTGGAATAGCAAACACATCAATGTTTTTGTGTTTTTGCACCAAAATGAATAAATATTGGCGCCAAGCGAGATAAATAAAGATTTTAAATACCCTCACTATAGCCTAAGTTTTGCCACCAAATTAGATCAGCTTAGCTCAGGTTTTGTACTCAAATGAAGTCTTTTCTAAACTGACTTTTATAGATTTTTGAATTTCAAATTGTGGATAAGGGATTGTAACCTGTATAAGAGAAAACCACTGAGCTAGGCTATATGATCTGATCCATCTCTAGAGAAATCTGTGGTCTTAATCACTGATTAAACAGTACTTGACGCTTTTAAATAGAAAAACTTAAATCTTAGCTCTGATTTGATACATGGCTTGAATGTCTGATGGCAGTATTGGCCATATGGAAGAAATTAAACTAACACTTCTTTTCGATATCTCAGGAAGCTTCCACCAGAAGAACTTGTCTATAGATAAAAAAGAAAATTTTTTCCCAATTATACTGACAACACCAAAACTCTTTGAAAAGAGGAACAGCCCCCTCGGATAATGGAGGAGGCGATGCGTCCACTGGCCAATCTAGGAGGCTGGAGGGAGATCTGAGTTTAGTCTCACTGCTATTAAGAGATGTGCCCCTGTTTGAATGGTCCTTTGATTTTATAGTGAAAGTCAATAGAAAAATATTATTGATTTTATAATTTACTTTACTAGAATGCACCTAAGAGGGCAAGGGATATGGCAGTCACTATTTTCCTTGATGTGATCCTATATGTCTTTAGCAAAAAGGCAGTTTTCACCCAAAAGAAGTTCTTCCAGATTAAAACAAGAACAACACATCCACACATGCAACTGGAGAACTTCTGCTTCTGATAATGTCAATTAAGTAATTCAGACCCATCTTCCTGAAGGTTAAGCTGAAGATAACTAATTGATTGGCTAAAGGTTTATTTTTTAAACTAAATATGTTTAAAATCTTCTTAAAAGCATCAAAGAGCTAACAAGTTAATCAGGAATTATTAGCTTTAAGCCCCGAGAGAGGACAGAAATCCAAAGACATGAGCCTTACATTTGAGGCCACTAGGGGCCATTTGGTAATCCTGGTTAGAGGTCAAAAGTTGGAGTCCATGGTTCACCAAAGGTATGCATGCTGCTAACTGCCACACACTCCCTCGCCCCTGTCTTGGATTGGGATCCCAAATGAGCTATACTTAGGAGAGGGTGAATGGGAAGTGGGGCAGCACTTGTACTTGGCTGTGGGCTGGATTTAGCGACTAATTTCTAATGAATATCATATGGCAAAAGTAATGCTGTTTCTCCACATGGTCCTTCATCCTGGGTTTCTTTACATCATAGTGGTCTCAGGGCTTCAAAAAGACAAGAGCAGAAGTTGCAAGGCCTCTTGAGGCTTAGGCTTTGGAACTCATACAATGTTATTTGCACCATATTCCACCATATTGTGTTGGTAAGTCCCAAGAGCAGCCAGAGTGAAGGGAGAGAAGAAAGAAACCCCACCTTTTCTGGGAGGAGAACAAAGTCATATTGCAAAATGTCATGAATACCAGAATGAGAGGAAGTTCCCTTCTGTGGTAAAGAGTATCTACAAAAAACCTTCAGCAAATATCAAACTTAACGGTGAAACTTTAAAAATCTTGCTTGCATATTCATATGTGAAAGTGACATGATAGCTCAAAAATACATGAAGCCAAAGGTGATAGAATTGAAGGGAGAAATAGACAATTCATCAGAAAAAGTTTAATATCCTACTTCCAATAATGGATAGAACAATTAGACAGAAGATCAACAAGAATACAGATGACTTGAACAACACTATAAAACTTCTAGACATACATCTACAGAACACTCCACCCAACAGCATTCTTCTCTAGTGCACATGGAACATTCTCTAGGATAGACCATATATTAGGCCATAAAGTCTACTTCAATAAATTCTAAAAGTTTGACATGAAAGAAAGCATGTTATTGAACCATTATAGAATAAAATTAGATAATAGGAATAAATTTGAGAAATCCACAAAAATGAAGAAATTAAACAACATACTCCCAAATAACCAATGGATCAAGGAATAAATAATGGAAAATTAGAGTATTTGAGATAAATGAAAATGAAAACACAACACACCAAAACTTATAGAATGCAGCAAAAGCAGTGCTGAGGAAGAAAGTTATACCTGTAAACATCCATATTAAAAAAGAAGAAAGATAGCAAATCAATTACTTCAACTTCCACCTTAGGGAAATAGTAAAAAGAGCAAACTAAACCCAAAGCAAGAAGAAAGAAGGAAATAATAGAGATTAGGGGTGGAAATAAGTGCAATAGAAAATAGAAAAACAATAGAGAATCAATAAAACCACAACTGCTTCTTGGAAAAGATGAACAAAATTAACAAACCTTTAGCTAGATTGGTCAAGAAAAAGAGAGAGAAGATTCAAATTACTAAGCTCAAGAATGAAAACGAGGTAATCACTACCAACCTTACAGAAATGAAAAGGATGATAAAGGAAGACTATAAACAATTGTGTGCCAACAAATTAGATAATCTAGATGAGACGGATAAATTCCTAGAAAGATGCAAACTATTGAAACTGACTTGAGAAGAAACAGAAAATGTTGAATACACCTGCAGCAAGTGAAGAGATTGAATTGGTAATTTAAAAACTACTCACAAAGAAAAGCCCAGACCCAGACAGCTGATGAATGATACCGTTTAAAGATGAATTAACACCAATCCTTCACAAACTCCTCCAAACAATAGAAGAGGAGGGAACATGTCCCAATTCATCCTATAAGACCAGTATTACCCTAGTACCAAAATCAGACAAAGACATACAAGAAAACTACTAGCAAATATCCCTTATGAATATAGATGCAAAACTCCTCAACAAAATATTAGCAAACCAAATCCAGCAATATATACAAAGGATTATACACCAGGACCAAGTGAAATTTAGCCTAGGAAAGCAAATTGTTTTAATGTTAAAAAATCAATGAATATAACACACCATTTAAACAGAATAAAAGCCCAAACCACTGGATCACATCAATAGATGCAGAAAGTATTTGACAAAACCCAACACCCTTTTATTAGAAAAACATTCAACAAACTAGGAATAGAAGGGATCTTCCTCAACCTGAAAAAAGACATCTATGAAAAACCCACAGCTAACATTATACTTAATGGTGAAAGACCGAATGCTTTCCATCTAAGATCTAATATTAAGACTAAGACGAGGATGTCTGCTCCTTCCACTGCTGGAGGAAATTCCGGTGGAGGTTCTAACCAGGGCAGGAAAGGTGGAACAAAGAAGGCTGACTACAAGGGAATCAAAGTAGAAATTATTAACAGAAAGAAAACAAGAAATCTCCAAACACGTGGAAACCAAACAACACACTTCTAAATAACCCACTGATCAAAGAGGAAGTCTTAGGGGAAATAAAAAAAATATATTGAAGTGAATGAAAATACAACATATCAAAATTTGTGGGACCCTGCTAAAGCAGTGCTGGGAGGGAAATTTATAGAACTAAATGCATACATTAGAAAAGAAGGAAGTCTCAAATCAATAATCTAAGCTTCTACCTCAAGAATGCAGGGAAAAAAGGGCAAACTAAACCTAAAACAAGAAGAAGGAAGGATATAATTAAGACAAGAGCAGAAATCAACAAATTGAAAAAAGAATAGAGAAGTCAATAAACGAAGGGCTGTTTTCCTTGAAAAGATCAATAAAATTAACAAACCTTTAGCTAAGACTGACAAAGGAAAACAGAGAGACAACACAAATTCCCCGTGTTTCAGGAATGAAATGGGTAGTCACTGCACGCCCTGTAGACATCAAAAGGATACCAAGGGAATACAATGAACATTCTACTCATAAAAATTTGACAGCTTAGATGAAATGTCAATTCTTTGAAGAATACAAACTCCCACATCTCACTCAGTCTGAAATAGACAATTTTAATAGCTCTGTAACTAGTAAGGAAATTAAATTTGGAATTTAAAAACTTCCACAAAAGAAATCTCCAGGCCCAGATGGTTTCACCAGAGAATTCTAGCCAGCATTTAGAGACGACTTAACATCCAATCTACATAGTCTCTTCCAGAAAACAGAAGAGGAAGGAACACTTCCTAATTTATTTTATGAAGCTAGTATTACCCCCACACGAAAAACAGGCAAAGACAGTACAAAGAAAGAACACTACAGACCAATATCTCTCATGAATAGTGATGCAAAAATGCTTAACAAAATAATGCCAAATAGAATTTAGCAATACATAGAAAGAGTTACATACATACATGACCACGTGGGCTTTATTCCAGGGATTGAAGTCTGGTTCAATTTTCAAAGATTAATGTAATCCACCATATTAACGGGCTAAAAAGGAAAAAAAAAAAATCACATGATTATATAACCTGATATAAAACATTCACCAAAATTCAATATCCATCTATAACAAAAACTTTCACAAATAGAGGAATAGAAGGAAAATTTGTCAAACTGATACCTACAGCTAATTTATACTTAGTGATGAAAGACTGAACACTTTCCCATCAAAATACCAGCAAGTTTCTTTCTAGATCTAGAGCTTATTCTAAAATTTAAAAGAAAAGGCAAAGGAACTAGAAGACCTAAAACAATCTTGAATAGAAGGAATAACATAGGCAGGGCCAGTCTTCCCAAGTTCAAGATTCGTCATATAGCTACAGTAATCAAGACGGTGTGGTACTGGTGGAGGAATAGACAGCTCACTGGAACAGAATAGAGAACCCAGAAATAGACCCACACAAATATGCCCAATAGATTCCTGACAACGGTGCAGAGACAATTCAAGGGAGGACAAATAGCTTTTCAACAAACGGTGCTAGCGTAATTGGACATCCTTAGGCAAAAACAACAACAACAAGGGCTAGCCTGGTGGCGCAGTGGTTAAGTTCACACATTCCACTTCCATGGCCCGGGGTTTGCCAGTTTGGATCCTGGATGTGGACCTATGCACCACTTGTCGAGCCATGCTGTGGCAGGTGTCCCACATGTAAAGTAGAGGAAGATGGGCATGGATATTAGCTCAGGGCCAGTCTTCCTCTGCAAAAAGAGGAGGATTGGCAGCAGATGTTAGCTCAGGGCTAATCTTCCTCAAAAAAAAAAAAAGACAAAAAAATAAAATAAAATAAAAAAACATAAAAACAAACAATCCGATTAGAAAATGACCAAAAGACACAAACAGATATTTCCCCAAAGAGAACATATAGATGAGAATACAGATGCCAAATTAGCAAATAGGGGAATGGGCATTAAAACCACAATGAGATAACACTACACACCTACCAAAATGGCTAAAATTTTAAAAATATTGACAACATCAAACACTGGCAAGGATATGGAGAAACTGGGTCACTCATACATTGCTAGTGGGAATGCAAAATGGCACAGCCATTCTGGAAAACAGGTTGACAGTCTCTTAAAGAACTAAGCACACAACCACCGCATGAGCCAGCAATTGCACTCCTGGACATTCATCCCAGCCACATGAAAACTTACGTTCACATAAAAACCTGTACACGAATGTTTATAGCAGCTTTATTCATAGTAGCTCAAAACTGGAAGAAAAAAACCCAAAATCCAGATGTCTTACAATGGGTGAATGAATGGTTACACGAGCCATGGTACATCCATACTCCCCAAGAAATAAATCTGGACAAATTGCCAGAGAATTATGCTGAGTGGAAAAAAAATCCAAAAGGTTACAAACTGCATGATTTCACTTCTATAACATTCTTGAAATCACACAATTTTAGAAATAGTAAATAGACAAGTGGTTTCTGGGGGTTAAGAGAAGTAGGTGTGGCTACGAAAGGGAAATATGAGGGATTTTTGTGGTGATGGAAATGTTCTGTATCCTGACTGTGTCAATGTCAATATCCTGGTTGTGATGCTGTACTACAGTTTTTGCAAGATGTCAACAATGGGGGAAACTGGGTAAAGGGTACTGAAATCTCTCTGCATTATTTCTTACAACTGTATGTGAATCTACAAACATCTAAAAATGAACATTCTGATTTAAAAAATTATTTTTGATCAAAAGATCAAGATTAATGAGTAGGAGAAGATACTTGCCATCTATAACTGATAAAGGCATATAGCCAGAATATACGAAAAGCTTTTGTGAATTAACCAGAAAAAGTCAGACAACTCAATGGAAAAATGGGTAAAGATTTGAACAGACACTTCACAAAACAGAAAGGTCAAATAGGCTATAAACACATATAAAAGTGCACAACCTTATTAGTAATTAGAGATATGAAATGAAGATCACAATTTTGATACCATTACACATCCACCAGATTGACAAAAATTATGAAATCTAGCAATATTATGTTTTGGCAAGGATGTGGAGCAACTGGAACAAGCAAACGTCTCTGGTGAGACTGTAAATTTTACGACCACTGTGGAAAACAATTTGGCAATATCTAATAAGTTAAATATAAGCCTATCTTAGAGCCCAGCAATTCCACTCCAAAGTATACACCCTAAAGAAAAGTTTGCACTTGCACACCACGACATATTACCAAAAATGTTATTAGCAGTATTGTTTGTAATAGCCCCAACTAAGACTGCATGCAACAAGAATGGGTGACCTCACAGACACAACCAAGCGAAAGAAGAGGCCAGAAACATACACCAAAACATCATGTTGTATTATCCCATTTATAGAAAGTTCAAAAACAAGCAAAACTAAACTATAGTGTTTAGAAATGCAAAACAAGCTGATAAAACGGTAAAGATATACAAGGAAGTACTTACCATAAAGTCAGGACAGCTGTTGCTCTAGGGGGAAGGGAAGAGCTGATGAAGGGAATGGGGGATGGGGGGCCCTGGGGTGATGTCAATGACCTGGGTAGTGATTACACAGCTTGGGTTTATGATGATTTGTTAGGCTGCACTTGTTCTGTCTTCACTTTTCTGTGTGTAATTGTTTATAACAAAGTGACACGTCTCATCATATTTCACTGTTTGCCTTCAAGAGGAAATGAGATGAGGGACGGATGTAGGCGTGAGGTTTGACTGTGTGAGAAAAGGCAGCACATGAAAATCTGAGGTCAAAATTTAAAACCTGTGATGAGGGAGAGGAAAAAAGTGGAGTGTTGAAGCAACCGTAAACCTTCTGGGATGATTAGACGGGTAGCTTGCCTTTGGATGGTTGGATTTTTTTTTAAAAAAAATAGTGCTTTAGGAATAATAAAGGTTGCTCCAAGAGCTAAATTTCTTACTCCCCAACTTTACAAGTTGGACCTGGGCTCAAGGACAAAGGTTTTTTATTTTCATTTTTCCGGTGGCTGCATTATTCCCCATTGACTAGAGTCCTCCAGAGGCTTTGACTCGGGGAGAACGCTCCCTCCGCGAGCGTTAACCTGGGTGACCCCATCCCCGCCTCCTCCCCCCCCCCCCACCCCCGTCTTCAGTCCAACCAAGACTGGAGAGCAGGGTTGGGGCAAAGATGAACAGACCAGAACAGGTAAAAGTTCCATATTGAGATGCTTTGAAAGTGCCCAAAAGTGACACTTTTCATCTCATTCATCATGTTCTCCAAGCAGACTGACTGATGTCAGAACTTACTGTTCCAGGTACAGCAACATAAGCAACTCAGAGTTTTAAAACATTAAAAGAGGATGATTTTAGACAAGAAATCAAGAGCCCCGTTAACGTTTTCTCCTCGCGTTGGGGGACGGGAGAGGACATTGCTTCTCCTTTCCTGCCCTTTCCTGACAGATCTCGCCATCACAACTCTGATTACACACTGATTGCCCTGCCACAAGGACGGGGTACCCCTCAACTCTGGGGACATCAGGTGTCACTGGACTTCCAGGGATCAGAAACAGGAAAACAGATGAGCCTTTCAGGCGGCTCTCAAAGCAAAGTCCAGTGGACAGAGACACACCCTGGTCCTTAAGAGTCTCGTTCTCTCAGGATTTTCCGTGCTGGACCCGATGTGTAGCACGCAAAGTCGCCGGCACCAGGCGGTCCTAGGGCGCCCGACTGCTGAGTTTACATTTCCCAGGCAAAAAGGCAGTGGAGCTAAGGGGAAGGCTCTTTGGAAGGCACCAACCTGCTCTATTCCATCCCTTCCCTTCGCCCTCGTGCAAGCTGCCTCCCTGGTGGGGGATTCTTCCAGGACTGGGGCCAGCGCCAATCAGGTCGTTCGGTACCTGCCCCCAGCCCCGGCCACCTGGAAGGGCGATGAGGTTCTCGGCTTCGTGCAGGGCCAGTACTCGGAGCCCCGGGGCGGGCAGAGGAGCCTCACGTGGCCCTCCCCAGCCCCGGGCACCCGGAAGGACGCGCGCAGACCCCGTGGGATCCGAACGCGGGAGGCATCGCCGGAGCGGAGCTGCTCAGCCGCGGGAACAGCTTAGGGCGCTGCTCCGCGCCGAGGTTCCCCCGAAGGAAGAAAGAGAAGGAAGGGGGCGGGGCACGGGAGTGCCGAGGACCCCCGCGGGTCGCCGCGCTCGGCGCGTGGATGTGCCTGGCCGGCGCGTACTTTCGAGGGCGCCTCGACACCCTGGTAAGCGCGCTCCGGGCCGCCTCTCACCGTCCCCGCCGGCTTGGCGGTGGCAGGCTGGAACCATGCTCCGCACCGGTAGCCGTTCGCTCCGAGGGGCTTGGCCGTGCCGGGGGCTGGGGGCTGGGCGTCTCCGCCCTCGTGGCCAGGCCGCGGGTCGCCCTGTCCCGCCTCGGAGCGGCCTCGCGGAGTCCCTGGCCCCTTTCGCTCGCCTCAGCCCGGCCTAGCCGAGCAGCTCCGCGGCGCCCGGACCACCCCGGGACCATGCGGCGGCCGGGGCCGGCGACGCTGCGCGCTCCGCGGGCTCTCCCGGGCGCGTGAGTGCGCGGGGCGCTGGGGCCGCGGGGAGCGGGCGGCGGGCGCGGGGCAGGCGGGCGGGGCCGGGCTCTTGCGCCGCGGTCCGTTGGGGGTCCGGGTTCGGCCGAGCGCGCGCTCTGGGCCAGCCTTGCCCCCGGGGCTCGGGTTGCTGGTGATTTGCCTGAAGTTTTCCAAAATCGAGAGGGCAGAGGTGCGTTGGCGGCGGGGTCTGCATCTCCGCCAGTGCGTGCGGGTCCAGGACAGCCGGGGGCCGACCGCCTGCCTAGGGGACGGGGAAACCGGACTCTCGCCCGGGCCACTGGGCGCTTCCTCCGGAGGCCCCAGGGCCGGGGTCCCGCTCCCCCATCCCGCGGGGCCGTGCGCGGGCGGGCGGGCGGGCGCGGCGGGCCTGGCTCCAGGCGCCGGCCACACCGAAGCTTCCGCTCGGCGGCCGGGAGGAGGGTTTGGCCCAAGTCTAAAGACCAGGGGGTGAGCGGATGAGCCCCGCTTTCTGCCGCTTGCACCGCCTTCACCCCGAGTCCGCCTGGGGTGGGGCGGGTGGAGTGCCCGGCGCGGCGCTCCTCCTGCGGGGTGGCTTCCTCGGTTCTCTGCGCCTCGGATGGCAGCCAGGGAGGGCAGGACTGGGGATCTAGCCTGTCCGTGCCCTTGGGCTACGTCCACCACCCGTGTCTTTTTGTCAAACTCGGGCATTCCTTTTCTCTCGGTGGAATTGTGGGGCCCTGGAAGTTTGCTCTTCCTTGCAAGTTTGACGTGGCGGGCAGGGTCTTGCGGGGGCAGGTACCCTACCCGCAGACGGGGCCTGCAGTCGGTTGCGGCACTTTCTCCCGTCCTTTCCTGTCTGCTCCGCCGCGGACTCACGCCCAGCCCGACGGACTACACTCGCGGCCTGGCTGGAGGACCCGGGTTGGGAAGAAGAGAAGTTCCCGCCGGCAGGGCGAGGGGTCCGATTCGAAGGAGGCAGCAGTGGAAATGGCAGGGCTTAACGTCTCCGCAGTCCATCTCTGTACCCTCCTGGGCCCTGCAGTGTCTGAGCCAGACCCACGCTTTGTACCGTGTGAGAGAGAAACAATGATGGGGGACTGCAGATCCCACACGCTCACTTTGCCTGAGAGTCGCGGGGATTGGGAGTCTTCTGGGGAAAAGGCAGCTTCCTTTTTGTGCCAGTGAAGTACTTGGAAGTACATTCAGGTCCTGCCCCTTTCCTTCAAACTGACAGAGGTGGACCAAGGGCAAGAAAGAGCTGAGGCACATTCCGTGAAAGCAGCGGTAATTTCTCAGACCTCTCTCCGAAGCTTCCACTCCCGTGCCTCAGAGGCTCTACACCAGCATATAGAGATGGGGCGGGCATGCTGGCACCCAGGGAGGAACTGAAATGTGGCTCCCCGGGGTTCAGCCTTGGCCTTAGGGAAATCAGCCGCAGCGCCCTCCTCATAGTGCCCCACTCACATAAGGAGCATTGCTCTAATTTCTACCATCCAGGGGGATGAAATGGGGCAGGCCCGCGTGTGAATGGGAAAGCCCCTGGAGTCTTTTGAAGTAGAGGTGGGGGGTCACATTCACAGATAGAAGCCCTAGTCGTGGGCATCACTGGCCTTCCTGCCAGAACGAGAAATCTGCATTGAGTGATCGCATCAAAAATGGTACTCAGGAAAGGCAAGATGGTCTCTGGTGCTGATGAGAGCAAGTTCCTCGTGTTTTTCCAAGATCTCTGCTTTGTCTCTAGCTTGCCCATCTATAATTGGAAATGAGCTCTGCTTAGTCCAGAGAGCGCCTCAGTCTGACTGCAGACATCATCTGGCCACAGGGGAGCCTGGCACAGGAGCAGCCCACCCCTCACCCAGAGGCCCAGGGTGGGATCTCAGGGATATCTCCTGCTAACTTTGGAGGGAGGCCGGGGTGGGTCAGAGGAGGAGTTGGGAATCCTCTGGGTGGCCACTTAACAAAAGAGCCATTTGACCCTGGGTGGTGGTTCCAGGTCTTGTTGATTGTGAAAAATGCCTCGAGGTTTAGAATCTGGCCTGATACTATTAACACTAATGAAAGCTGCTACCATTTATTAAGTACCTTCTATGTGCCAGACACAGGCTTTGCAAAATCAGTATTATTATCCCCATATTTCATGGGAGGAGACTGAGCTTGGGAGAGGTTAAATAATTTGCTAAGATCATAAAGCTAGTCAGTGGCAGAGCTGTGCTCGGAACCCAGGTCTCTCTGTCCCAAAGTCCCCGCTCCTTCCACAGGGCTGCTCTCCTCCCATGAAGAACAGACACACACATGGTAGCTGAAAATCCACAGCCATTGTGACTAAAAACTGTTGTTGGTCCAAGAGACGTTTGTGACCCCATCAGATTTCAGGGAAAGTGCCCACCTGGTTGCATGGAGGCTCTTCATTCCTCTAGGACTCAGGGGTTTAATACATACCCCTGAGTAAAAGGATGAATTCTTTAATATGTAAAGTGCAAACTACAATGCCATACTTATTTACCTCTCAATTAGCAAACATCAAAGAGATTGATAAACTGCTGATGAGGTTCTGGAAAAACAGGCACTTTGTATATTGCTGGTCAGAGGGTAAATTGGCACAACAACTTTGGGGGGCATTTTAGAAACATCTCTCAAAGTTAGAAATGCGCGTTTCATCTGACCCTGTGATTCCATTTTTAGGAATTTAACTTGCTGTTATACTTGTCTATGGGGACAAAGACATATATACATCATAGCATTGTTTGAGCTATGAAAGAATAACCTACATGCTCATCAAAGGGGGATTTGTTAAATATTTTTGGTACTTCCAGATAGTCAAATACTGTCCTAGTCATCTATAAAAAAAAAAATTAGGAAGGTTACTCTCTAACTGATATGGAACCATTTCCAAGATATATGGCTAAGTGGAAAACATGCACAGAGTGTTTATAATGTGCTACTGTTCATGTTATAAAAGAGGAGGAAGAAGGAGAGTTCCAAGATATTTGCTTGTGTAGACACGAAACCTAACATCTGTTGCCTCCAGGGAGAGTGGAACTTTTTGTGGACCAGGGAGAGTAAACCCTTTTGTACCTTTTCAATTTTGAACCATGTGAATGTATTAACTATTTAAAAAATCCTCTCCTTGCCCTGTGCCTGACTTGTTCCCTCAAGCTCTTCTCCAGCTGAACAGTGTGGGGTGACACCCCCACCCTCAGGTGGCTTGAGAGGTCCCCTTTGGAATAAAAGCCGAAGGGCTATGAGACCACGCAGGGCCCCAGAATCCGGGCCATCCAGAGTTCCTTTAAATATGCAGCTTGCGCTTGGAAAGCTGGAGGGGGAGGTGTGTTTAGACACCTCTCTGAGCTGGTAGGTGAGACATGATCCTCCAGCTTTGAAAACAAAATGGAGAAATGGAAACTACCCCTCTGTTTGTTGCCATAATGCTCCCCTATACGGGCTACAGCGTCAGTGCCTGGATAGTGTCAGGGAAGGGAGCGGGAGGAACACTGTGGTTGGACATCAGGAGGGCAGAAGATAGGGAGGAGGTC